GAGAGAATTAATTTATTGTTATTAAACAATGGCGAAAAACAACATTATGTTTGGATAAAAAACATGAGCAGATTGTTTAGAGATCAGATTAATAAACATCACGCTAGAAAATATGTTTGTGATTATTGTTTAGGAGCATTTAATTATCAAAATGATCTACAAGAACATCTAAGGTTGTGCCGAGAACATAAGCCGGTTAATTTACAATTTCCAAAAGAAAAAAGTCTTAAAAGACTTTGAGTGTTTCACTCATAAAATTAATTCTCTAGAAACAAAACCAGATGATGGTTCATCAACCGAGAAAATTCAGCTTCATAAACCATCGGGATTTTGTTATTTTTATTTTTTATTTTATTAGCTTCGCCAAGAATAACATCTGTAAATACATGAGTACATAACATAAATAAATAGCATGCAAACACAATAATGAGAAAGTGACAGGGACACCGCCAAAACAGTTGATAATTTAATTAAACCAAAATTGGTTGAATATACAGCCAAAGAAAATGAAGACGYTGGTCAAAAATTCATCGACTCTATCGAGAAAACAGTTAGAGAACTCTACTCTAATATTCCATATAAAAAATTAAAGATGACTTACGAAGATTGTAAATCTCGTGATTTACAAGAAGAGTGTTTGTGTGGTGAAAAGTTTGAAGAGACAGATAAATTTGATGATAAAAAAAGTAGAAGATTTCGATCGTTTAACAGGAAAATATTATTCAGCAACACATAATAAATGCAGACGTCATAATCTTCCAAAGTACATTCCAGTTGTATTTCATAATCTATCAGGTTATGATGCTCATTTATTTATTAAAAATTTAGGAGTTACAGAAGGGGGAATTAAAGCAATCCCAAATAATGAAGAAAAATATATTTCATTCACTAAGAAAATAAAAATTAAACAATTTGTAAATAACGAGGGGAAGTTAATAGATTACTATAAAGAAATAAGGTTTATAGACTCTTTTAAATTCATGGCTTCAAGTTTAGGTGCTTTGGTTAATAATTTAAGAACCAAAGTACCCAATGATGAAACAGAAGACCAAAAGAAAAATAGACTTTTAAAAGATCGAGAAGCATTTCCAAATCTATCATCTTATTTTAACGATATCGAACTACTAACCCAAAAAGGGGTATTTCCTTATAATTATTTTAATTCTCGAGAGAAATTAAAAGATAAGTGTCTTCCACCAAAAGAAGAATTCTATTCTAAGTTAGGTGAGTGTCACATCAGCGAAAAAGATTATCAGCATGCTCAAAAAGTTTGGAATGAATTTAAAATAAAAAATTTAAGAGAGTATTTGAAACTTTTAGAGAAGTMTGCTTAGAACACTATCAATTAGATCCAGCTCATTACTACACCGCCCCAGGACTATCTTGGGATGCTTTGTTAAAGAAAAGTCAGATTGAATTAGAACTACTAGATGATCGAGATATGGTGTTGATGATTGAAGATGGAGTAAGAGGAGGAGTTTCAACGATAATAGATTTTGATCCAACTAAAGAATCTGTTTATTTAAAATATTTAGATGCCAATAATTTATATGGCTGGGCTATGAGTCACCCCTTAMCAATTAAAAATTTTAGATGGGCCAAAAAGTCTGAATTAGAAAAATGGGAAGATTTTCCATGTATTTTAGATTTTGATTTAGATTATCCAATTCATCTTCACGAATTTCATAATGAATATCCAATGGCTCCCGAAAAAATTAAAGTTGGGCAACAAAAAATAGAAAAACTAATTCCTAATTTCAATAACAAAAAGAATTATGTAGTACATTATCAAATCTTAAAGCTTTATAAAAGTTTAGGAATACAAATTAAAAAAGTTAATAGGGCAATTATCTTTGAAGAAAATAAAAAGCTTGGATTAAAGATTATATACAACTTAATACCAATCTTCGGTCTAA